AATACCAGCAAACAAAAAAGAATTAAAATGGAAAACACAAAATTAAATGAAAAATAAATCATAAAACCAAAAAAAACCAAACATTTTAGTATCGGTTGGTGTTACCAACCGGTACTAAAGGGCTCCCGGCCCCCGGAGCTGGCTCGTGCCACGTGGTTGCCCTTTAGCACCGGTTCATGCTGAACCGGTACTAAAGGGGGGGCCTTTAGTGCCCACACTTTAATGTCGGTTATGGAACCGGCACTAAAGGGCCTTACGAACCGGTGCTATTACCCGGTTCTGCACTAGTGCTCCCACGAGAGAAACGACACCGTAGTGCAGCCATCGTCCAATTTGAAACACCAAATCCTAGGGTTTCCCCTGGAGTAGCGCGTGTGGGTCGACAGTAGTTACTCGACAATACCTCCATCAAGGTAATGACACAGAACGCCGCCACCGCCTGCCATCGGCTCGGTTTTCACCGGCAACTATGTCTCCCCGACTCACAACCGGGACTAGATGAAGTATCTCGAGATCCGACCACCCAGCCTCTGGCCGACCACCTCCAACGGAGGAGATGACCACCACCACCGGTGCACCGGCCAGAACAAATCTGACCGGAGGTGCCGCCGAGCAGTCCACCGGGCCCTCCACGCCGCCGCCGATCCGAAGCCAGATGACTCACCTCTGCAGCATAAGTCGTCGGCGCTCAAACCAGGCAAGCCGCCGCTCGCCGCCGCGTATGACCGGGCTGCCTGACGCGTCGCAGTCCCCGTCGCCCGTAGCAAGGCAAACTGCCGCCGCATCGGATCTGACGCGCCTCCACACGCACAAGGGCTCCGCACCACCCGTGAGACGCGCGAGAGGGGAGGATCCCCACCACCGCCATTGGCCCCCGAGCGCATCCCGGTGGCATCCTCCGACGGCAACGAGGGGTGAGGGAAGGTAGGTAGGTTCGGCCCCGGCGGCGGCTAGGGCTGGGGAACCACCCAAGCTGTGAGAGATGCGACTTGTGTGAACTAGTGGACGGCGCGGTCACTCTGCCCCAGAACCGCGCCGCATAAGCCGACCGTGTGGTGAACCATTCAATCTTGTCCCAAGCCCATGTATAGGAGTCCACCGCATCCGACATTTGTACTGATGTACCAACAAGGTGTGAATTTGACAAAACCAAGTTATGCTTCCAATTTAGTCTCTTTTTCCAGTATTAGTCATCACCTGCATTGCGCGTGCACGATCACTAGTTTCTAACCGGACACATTATTTTATAAACTTATTATTCACAAAAACTGTCGTAAAACTGGGTTTCCTAGAAATCGGCTAAAAAATCATTTTCTAGTTCTATCGCTAATTTTCAACTATTATTCAAACAACATGTGGAGGAAAGGCGTATTTTCGGGAGGAATAGGGCGAGCGTAGGAGGAAGGTCTATCCATCCGGAATTCAGGATCAACAACTGCTTGCTGACTAAAGATAAGATGACGGGAGAGTTTAAAAAGTCAGCACGCCGGCTGGAAGTCGTTCTCGCGGGCGGACACGAAATATCGCACGGTTAATATACGGAAACAAACAAGCTCATGGCGCCACGCGCCCCTCCCTTTTAAATGACGACGATACCGAGTGACCCACAAAAGTCCGGCCCGCCGGATCAGTGACCAACTGCTTCTGCGTGCCACGCGGAGGAACAAATCGGATCCCGCGCCGGTCTCACGTCTTCTGATCTACAAATACAAAATCGATCGACGCATCGAAACGCCATCGATACCATGGGCCAACGGAAGCTCCGTCGTTCCGGGGCCGCCTCCGCATCTTACTGCCCGATCAAGAAAGATCGTCGCCATTGTTTCTCAAAGAAGAAAAAGAAAAATCGTCATCATCACCGCCAAGTCGACAGCGGTGGCCTGACGGCGTCTCTCTCCGACGACGCGCTCGCCGACATCTTCACCCGGCTGCGGGACGCGGCGGCAGTGGTCCGCTGCGCCACCACGTGCCGGCGCTGGGGCCGCCTTGTGGCCACGAGGGCAGCCCTCATTTCCCGCTGCCTGCCACCCCTCGGCCGCTCCTTCCCCGACCTTGCCGTCGGCCTCTTCCACCAGGAGAAAGACTGGCCCACCACGCGCGGCAGGGACACGGCGTCGTCGCTACGGCCGTGTTTTGTCCCGACGGCCTCCGGCGCTCGCTTTCTCTGTGAGGGCCGGGAGCCTTTAGGTGTCGCGGGACCAGATGATGGCCACGGGCTACTCGACCACTCCCGTCCGGTCGCATCCCGGAACGGCCGCCTCGTTTTGGAGCTCCGGCGCCACCGGCGCCAGGATCGCGCCGCAGACGGCCTCCGGCTCGCCGTATGTAACCCAATGACGTCTGACAACATCGTTGTCGTCCCACCTTTGGTCTTAGTTGGCAAGAACAACACAAAGATACTGGACTACGGCTGCGCGTTGCTCACCAGCCACGACCTCTGTCCGCCAGGCTGCCTCGACTTCTTCCGTATTCTGCTCATCTACAACCACCACGGCGGCGGTGGGTTGTCAACGGTGCTCCGGTGCTACTCCTCGGACACGGGTCGCTGGGGACCGGAGACTAAATCCATTGTCAAGATACCTAGTTCCAAGATCAGCAACATCGGCCCTGCCGTGATACACCGCGGGGTGGCATACTTGGCTCTCGAGCAGGGTGTGTTCGGGGTGCGCCTGGATCGGATTGAGGAGGACCATACAATGGACATGCATCTCGTGCCGTGTGACACCTCAAAATTTAGCCCAAACAACCGCCTGATGGGCGTCTCATCGGACAATCGGCTTTTCTTGATGAATTGTTGTTTCAAAGCAATCTCAAAAATGAAAATGTGGAAAAAGCTCGTGCTGAAGCTAACCTATCTCGAGTTTGCACATGAAGATGACATCCACACCGCTAAGATATCTACCATTCGTGAAGTTCTGTCGATGAAGCAGATTGGGAAGCAGATGGAGGTGGCATACTACCCCCCTGCGATCAAGCTGCGATGGTTTGGCGAGAAGAGTGGGATCTTGTTGTTCACCATGGGAGAGCGTAGCGGGCACAATGGCACCTATATGATGAACCTTCGGGAGCAAGTGGTTGACAAGGTGGCGGATGATGGGCACTCTTGGAAGAACCTGCTCGGGTATGAGATGGATATGGCGGCGTACCTTGTCTCTGTCGGCCAGATATCCTTCACTTGAGTGGGTATACCGATGGAAGAGGTCGCACACATGGAGTTTGGATGCAGCAATTAATGGGAGACAGTTGTATGGGATGCATTCAGTGGCGGTCGAGTAATACATTATATGTAGGCATGTATTTCTCTTATACACGGTTGTGGCATTTATCTTCTTGTTGTGTTTGCGTTGTACTAAATGACATGAATCGTACTTGGAATAATTTATTATAGGACTCACTATACAGCGACGCCACATATACGCTCTCCCGTGGGGCGCCTTGTAGCTAGTAGAACAGAGCAACTCCTTCATTATCTTTTTGTTTCAATTTCTTGTTTGCTTTGGTTCAGTCTTAAACATATTTTGGCTTGCCACTGATCTTTAACAACTATTAATACTGCCGATATCATGTAAACAGAAGTTTTGTGGTGTTAACCCAAAGCAAAGATCATTGAGATATTTGCATAGAACCAGATATAATCATAATAACCATGCAAATGCACACCCGAGTTCTTATTTGAAGTTTTTGTACCTTGCAGTTCACTCGGTTCCAAACAGTGACGAGCCCCTCTCGATGATATTTGGAATTTTGATTAACATTCCTGAAGAAATCTATGTATAACAACTGAGCTCATTGTTCGTGATCTACCATCGTCAAAGACCTTGACATTTAACATTTACCGCCTGCTTGTGCCGTGGCTCTTGGGCAGGACACTTGCGTAGCCCTCGGTGTCGCCTCCCTTCTCAGTACCAGGATCTCCCCGCAGCCTCCTTCTTGAAGCGTTGATTCTGCAGATGTCCATATAGATTTCTTATCGAAGAGGAAAGAGAAGATAGCCTACAAGTCTGGTTATTAAATCCAGTAATTTTCTTGATATATTTCTAAGAATAATTGCCACTAATTCTCTATTATATATATGGATTTTAATTTCTGCTACACAATATATGTCTCTCATGCAATCTGAATGCTATACACGACACTAACATGTTGAAGTCTGAAGTCATGTACCCCAGAAGAACTAATGCTGCCGTATCATTCAGGCTCTACATTAGCAATCTGCGGTGTAGTAGCATCTTTGGATGATTACTTATATATGAAATCTATCATATAATTTATTCAGATTGTTATCTTATTTGATATGTGGATGTTATTCCAAAAATTCACGACAAATTCCTGCCACAAATGCGGGGCATCATCTAGTTACCTGAAGTGCGAGGCTCCACAAATTTAGCTGCAAAGACATCACTTTGTCCCGAGAGTTTTTTGGCCACAAGAAAATTCAGACGTACAACACATATGAACTTTGCAAAAGAAAAAAAATCTCCAGTTTGTTCACATAATCAAGACCTTAGAGTTCATGTTCGTTCCAGATTTTATTCAGCTCGGTCGTGGCGACGGGGCTCATGTTCGATACTGAATTTCTGACGGGAAGATCCTCTCCTCTGCTCCTGACAAGATATCGTTCTCCACCCATCTTCCTGGTCAGACGAGGAAGATACTACTCTCTTCATCTGGGGATCCTCTGATTAGCTTACAAATGCACTGTGAACAGGTAAGAACATAGAGCATGAGCGCCTGAACTCAGAGATGCGCCAAGTGCGCAGTCCTCAGCTTCACATCTTCAAAGGTCAAACTTGGCACCTGTTCATTCGGACAGAGTAACATAACACACTTCACTGAACTCAACAGACACATGTCGTTTCACTATATAATACTCCCTCCGTCCCAAAATAAGTGTCTTAACTTTAGTAGACACTTATTTTAGAAGAGACGAAGTAGCAAATAACAGTTAAGCTTTCAAAATCAGGGTGCATCAAGATGGCCCTCCTCGGCTTCACATGCGCCTAATTGAACGCCTGATGAACTGATGAGGGGCTTAATTAAGAAGAGACCAGTAGTTCTGTTTGCTGATTGCTCGAGTCAGGGCACACTGGTTATCAAGTCAACTATTCAATGTTTAGCCTGGCTCGTGTGCTTCCAGTAGGAAGGAACAAACCAATAGAGTACCATGTGCAGTTATCCCTCCAAAAATGATGTTTTTTAGAGAAAAGACTACCGTTGGGCTTTAAACTAATGGTGCTCTTACGGTTAACCATACGACACAATACCACAAAACACACACACAACTAAGAGAGAAAATAAAAACGGCCCGATACAACGGCGCCGAGAAACAGTCACAACCCCAGACAAACAACAAGCCATACTGAAGCGGCGCCGCTTGGAGTCATCTGAGTTCTCGTCCGCAATCAGGCACTAGAGATAATCCCAACTCAACGTACCATCGTCGGGGCTATGGAACCCACAACACGGAGAGAAGAAATTGTAGTCTACCATCGCACTCTGACCACCAACGGATAGGGATCTTGCTCTGAGGCGGAGCCTCCAAGAAGGGAATGGCGTCTTCTCGCCGCCACCGCCTGGTCCAGAGAAGGATCTAGGGGTTTCACCCAAAGCAAGGAGAAGCAGGTGTCACGACTGTCATGGCGTCCCCACCGGCCACGACGGCCCCACTGGACAGCGGAACCACCGAGCCACGGCCAGACGAGGTTGACGAAGTCAAGGCGCGCTGGAGAGGGGAGACCAGTGGGCCCGCGTAGTCAGAGCGCGTTGCGTGGGTGTGTGGCCTGCGTGCCGTGGGTATTACTTGGCGTGGAGAGTGGGTTAGAAGGGTATCGATTATTGTATCAACATTGACTACGAGAAGCTGAACTTCTCTGCCGGCCTCCTTCTTCCTCCCTTCCTCCCCAGATCTAGATCAGGCCCCTTACAACTTGGTATCAGAGGTCCAGCATCCTGGATCCGCTCTACCAGAAGCCCCGCTACCAAACCAAAGAAGCGCAACAAGCGGCAGCCATGGAAGAGCAAATCGCAGCCCTGGCCAAGGCGGTCCACGACGGGCGCACCGCCAACGACGCCCGTCTCGACGCGATCCAGCAGTCGCTCAAGCTCTGGCGGCCGGCGGTGACCAACCTGCAGCAGCAACTCGATGAGCTGCGTACCCAGGTCGGCCGGATCGCCCTCCACCCCGTGCTGGCGGCGTCTTCAACATCACCTGAGGGCGCGGTGGTGCAGCAGGCGGCGTCTCCTCCGATCGACGACCCGAGCACCACGGGCCAAGTGGCCACGGCAAGAACATCGACTCCGGGGGCTCGGCACACGGGGTAGTCACTACCCTGACGCCGCCTCTGGTCATGGGTGAGTCTCTCCGACCCTCTTTCCCTTCAAGATCGGGGGAATCGGGCTGGGATCTGGCACATCCGGTCGATCTTCCACAGGCACCGCACGGTTCGTTTGGGGGGCACAGCAATTGGGCCCTTCCGCGGCTTGATTTTCCGCCATTCGGTGGCGAGAACCCCCAATTTTGGAAAAACAAGTGTGAAAAATATTTTAGTGTTTATGGAGTTCAGAAAGAGATGTGGGTGCGGGTATCTACTCTCCATTTCGAGGGTAATGCCGCGCGTTGGCTGCAGGTGCAGGAAGCACACGACGTCTCCTTCACCCGGGAGACGCTCTGCTCTGCCGTGTGTGCCAAATTTGGCCGTGACCAGTACCAAGTTCAGCTTAGGCAGTTTAATACGCTTCGTCAGATAGGTTCAGTTGCAGAGTATATGGAACGGTTCGAGGAACTCATGCATCAGTTGTTAGCGCATAACCCTGCTTTTGATCCTTTGTTCTTCACTACGCAATTCCTTGATGGTCTCAAAAACGACATAAGAATTGGTGTTTCTTTACATCGCCCACAAGACTTGGACTCCGCCTTTTCTCTTTCTCTGTTATAGGAGGAGCTGATGGGATTGATGCCCCGGAAGGACCAAGGACAAGCGCGACACCCCGCCCGCCCACTGCTAGCCGTGGGTAGATTACACCCCCGTCCAGTGCCGCCCGCCCCCCAGCAGCGGCAGAAGATCGCCGGGCCTTGGACGCGGCTCGGGCAGCCGACCGGCGCGCTGAACCAACGTGAGGCGAGGACCGCATCGCCGCGTTGCGCAATTACCGTCGCGCACGCGGTCTCTGCTTCAAGTGCGGAGAACGATGGGGGCAAGGCCATCAGTGCGCTGCCACCGTTCAACTCCATGTGGTGGAAGAATTGTTGGAAATGCTACAGGCCGAAGCGCAGGACAGGCAAGGGGATGAATCAGACTCTGATGAGGAGCAACTCATGTCCATCTCCAAGGTGGCGACCATAGGGGCAACAACCCCGCGGACTGTGCGATTGTTGGGCCTGATCAATGGCCACGAGGTGCTGATCTTGGTGGACTCAAGTAGCTCGCACAGCTTCATCAGTGAGGGAACAGCTCAAAAACTGGAAAAACAAGTTCAACCAATGCCGCCTGTGTCGGTCAAGATTGCAGACGGGGGCACCTTGACTTGCTCTGGATACATACCTGCCTGTGCGTGGACGACACAAGGGCATCAGTTTGAGACTGACGTTCGAGTTCTCCCTCTTGGTTCTTATGACATGGTGGTAGGGATGGACTGGTTAGAGGCGTGCGGACCTATGTTGGTCGACTGGACGGCAAAAACGCTCCAGTTTCAGCATCAAGGGGCATCCATTACTCTGGTTGGACTGAAACCCAAGCTACAACAAGTCGAGCAAGTGACAATGGATCAGTTACTTCGGATGGAGCAAAGTAATTCCATTGCTCATGTGGTCTCTCTGTGTGCAATCGATCGTCCCGGAAAAGCCACGGAAGTGCCTTCATCCATTCAACATGTCGTCGACAGCTTTCACTCAGTGTTTGCAGAGCCATCCAAGCTGCCCGATCGACAACCCTGGGACCATACCATCCCTCTGCTTGAAGGAGTCAAGCCGGTCAATATCAGACCGTATCGCTACACTCCTAAATAAAAAGATGAGATAGAAGCTCAAGTCAAGGAAATGTTGGAAAAAAGACTTATCACACCCAGTACAAGTGCGTTTTCGTCGTCCGTGCTGCTGGTCAAGAAGAAAGACCAAACGTGGCGCTTCTGCGTCGACTACCGTCACCTCAACGCCATCATTCTCAAGAAGACCTACCCGATG